AGCAGGGATGGTCCTTTTGGGACTTATAATTCCATATAATGGTAGTGTATATGCACCCTCTGGGTTCGCGAAGTCCAAGGATGGCAGCACCGTGGCCTTCTCCGGGTCCCGAAGGCCTCTCCGACTTCACCTAAGGCGGCCAAGTCCCAGCCGCCAAAGGCCTCTCCCATCAAAGTGACAAAGGCTAACGCCTCTCAGACAGCGGTGCCAAAGGCATAGCATCAATTACAAACCCTCATGCACTCTCAGGTGAGTACGCAATGTTGCGCCAGAGTTTAGAGTTTAGGGTTTAGGGTTTATGTAGACTCAGGGCTTCAACCTCTTGCAGAAGGCCATGGGATCTGCAGGGGTGTCCCTAGCAAAAATGGAAGTGCCGGTTCTCCTCTGCCACTGGCCGCGAATCCTGGCGTGAACCCAGCCATCCGACCAGGCTTGGCCGTTGTAATGTAGGGGCCTTAATAATTCGAATAGGTTTCGGGGGCCCATTATACTTTTCTTATCATAAGAACCCCCCACAAATAGTACAGGTAATTATTTTCCCCTACATAACTATTTTTCTTAATTTTCTTTGCAAGGTTTGCAGAGTAAGTTACTTTTACCGAATCTGAATAGCGTTCCCCGAACCCTGACTGCTAAGGCTCGGGGCTGTATCGGGTTGCAACAAGGGTCAGGGCTTCAGGGCTTTTAGGGTTTAGGGCTCAGGATTCAGGGATTAGGGCTTCAGGGTTTTAGGGTTTAGGATTTAGGGTTTAGGGATTAGGGCTTCAGGGTTTTAGGGTTTAGGTTTAGGATTTAGGGTTTAGAGTTTAGGGCTTCAGGGTTTTTGGGGTAGACTCTTGCGTCAAAGGTCCCAGGTGTCAGCCCAAACATTTCAGCCTGAGTATCGGTGTTAATGATACTTTCTGTTTGCCTGTTAAGGAACATTAATAGTCAGGAGCAGGACCTGTCATATCGGGGCCTGAGGGTGCCGCACTTAGGCTTCGACCTGTTCAGTGTTGCAAAATCCCTCAAAGCCTACACTCTAGTTGCGTGGGTGTTTGTATGATGTGTTGTTTTGCTTCGTGTCTACATTTGTATACAGACATACAGAAAACATGCATATATCTTGCATAGGCATGTGGGTCGTTCTCTACTTCTCTAAATTAGAGGTCCCTTTTTGGGTACTTTTTACAAGGGAGCAGTACTCTATTGGGGACTTTAAACAGGGACCCTAATTTGGAGGATCATAGGACTTAGTAAGTATGGTTATAAGTACCTTAATCGGGGTTATAAGTAGTATAAGTATAGTTACCCTAGTAATAGCCTGAGTTGTTAAGTCCCATAATCCTTTAAGTAATTTGGAGAACTACCCAAAGGCATTTGTTGAACCGTCGTTGGCAGCGCAGTGCCGCGACCAAGCGACTGGGTCCCGGCGTCTTTCGAACCGTCCTACACAAGACCCATACTGGCGGTTCAGGGTTTAGGATTTAGGGGTTTAGGGTTTATGGGTTAAGCGTTTACAGTAGGGGTTCAGGGTTTATGTTCAGGGTTTAGAGGTGTAGAGGTTTAGGTGTTCAGGGTTTAGGGGTTTAGGGTATACCCTGGGCCCTGGGTCGTATGCCGTAAACCTGCAAGCCCCGAGTTCGTTTCTCTCAAGACTCATACCCTAAGCCAAAGCCCAAAGATCCTTTTTCCGGAAGATTCATAACCCTTACACTAGAAACATAAAAGTTGGAAACCCAATAGCCTCAATCCTTAAGGGTAATCTACAGGGAATCCCAGCATTTATTGTCCTTAATCCGGTGTTCAACTTTTTGGGGTTTAAACCCTAAACCGTAAACCCAAACCCTAAAACTAAAACCCTACACCGAAAAAACCTGAAAACTCTTAAGCCCCCGAAAACCCTCTCTCCACAATCGTTCTGGGATCATCCCTTGAGCTCCACCTCCTCCCTTTACCAGGAAGACAGGGCTTAGGATTTAGGGGTTTAGGATTTAGGGGTTTAGGGTTTAGGGGGTTTAGGATTTCAGGGTTAAGGGTTTAGGGGTTTTCAACAGCCCAGCCAAGAGGAAGGTTCAACAACCTCCTACGTGTAAAATGGCTTCAGCCACAAAAAGGAACTACCACAGTGAGACTATCGGTAAGCCCTCAGCCAGAAGGCGAGATACCCTCCACATCGTGATGGACTGGGCCGAGGCGAAAAATGGGCTTTGGGAGCGGGTTTCAGGTTGTGGAGTGGGTTTTGGGCTGAAATACCCTGCAGCCTTGTGAGTTAAGTGTTATAAAGGCTAAGGGTGCGGTTGGAGTTCAGGGTTAAAGCCTGAAGTGTAAGAAACCAGTACCTTGAGCCTGAAGTGTAGCTCTGGTTTGCGGGGTTCCACGTTGTGGTTCAGGGCTCAGGGTTTAGGGTTTAGGGTTCAGGGTTGGGGTTTAAGGTTCAGGGTTTGAGGTTCAGGGTTTAGGATTCAGGGTTTATGGTTTAGGGTTTAGGGTTAATGTACTATATTTAGGTATATGCAGCCTCACTGAATTCAGTGACCCGGAGCTAGGCGACAACGCTTCCGCGTCGTGGCCCCAAAACCATAAGCGTCAAAACCCCAAAGACTGCAAACGGTTTAGGGCTTAGGGCTTAGGGTTTAGGGCTTAGGGTTTAGGGCTTAGGGTGTAGGGTTTAGGGCTTAGGGTGTAGGGTTTAGGGTTTAGGGTCCTGAAACATCCTGAGACCCTAAACCCTGCCTGGACCCTATGAAGACCTGCCTTTGTAGGGTTCCTGATTATGAGTTTCTTGTACGAGTCCTTAAGACGGTAGGTTATTTGGGGTTAAGGTGGATTCTAAAGCCGAAACCCTATAAACCACAAGCCCTCGGCAGGGCGGCACGCTTGCGAACATCTTGTTGTCCGCTCGTGCGGAGGGCAGGAGCAACCCAACAGGGCTTAGGGTGTAGGGTTTTGGGTAATGCTTCACCAGGGTTTTGAGTTCTGGGCTTGGTGGTTTCAGGGCTCTCGAGTTCAACAGCTTCGTCGTTGTTGCTTTAACGGTCAAGTGGTCTGGGGGTTTAGGGTATATAAATCCCTAAACCCTAAACCCTACCTGTGACCCCGAACCCTACAAAATAGTAGGTTATGACCCCTGAATTAGAGGGTAGAACCCATAAAACGGTAGGTTTTTGGATCCAGGTAAACCATATATGCAAGGGACTGAACGCCGGGACCACGGAAGCTTCACTCCGAGGCACTTCGATCGGTTTCTGCGAGGCTTCAGGGCTCGGTTTCGGGTTTAGGGTGTCGGGTTTAGGGTTTACCTTAAGAACCCAAAACCTACTTTTTTTGTAGGGTCCCTATAAATCCCATATTAGGGTTTATAATGAGAACCTACAAAAAGTGGGTTTTGGGTTCTGAAGGTAGGGTTTAAGGTTACTGGAAGGGGAGAGGAAGCCCTCGTCAAAAACCGAAGTAGCATGGCGTCCGCAAAGCACGAAGATCCACAGCATCAGTGTTGATCTGCAGGCCTCCAGCTTGCATGTGCGCCCAAGGTGGGGGCCACAATTCGGGGGAAATTCAGAATACCCTAAGGGTCCATGTACCCAAATAGTATATACATTGGCCCTAAAGTACCTAGATAGGGACTACATTAAGGCGAAAGCATATACTCTCTGGGTACATGGACCCTTAGGGATAGCAGGCGCCCGAAATGCACCGGTCTGGAAGATCCACTGCACAAGTGGGTACTGTAGTTCTCTAAATTAGGGTCCCTCTTTAGGTCCCCAATATGCTACGGCACCCTTATAAAAAGGACCCTTAACGGGACCCTCATTTAGAAAACTAGCCAAGCGTTGAGTCTCCGGGCCGGCCTCCGGCTTGGACATGTGCGCAAGGTTGCAACTGGCCGCCAGCCATCTTTGCTGCGACTTGAGAAGTTCAAGATTTACCTTAAGCTATAGGGGCCTTAATATCATGATGTATGCTACATTCCTTAAGTAAGGGGTATTGGGATCTCTGGGGTTGCCACCAGGACGGCACCTTTCGCCCCCGAAAGAGCCTTGTCACTTGCTATCGGAGCAAGACGGAGGCGTCTTCTATCTTTCTGAATGATGAGCACAAGGATGATCCACATGGAGAGATCCGCGCGGTGACGGCTGGGAGCCTCACTGAGCCCGAAAGCCTAAGCCATAATCCCAACAAGACCCAGAGTATCGATCTTAGAACCGTACCACGCCAAACCAAAGACACGGGGCGGAGTTTGGGGTTTAGGGCAGATGAGTTATATAGGTTCAGGGTGAGGGCTCAGGTCTTTTTTAATAAGACTTATCGATAGCTCGGGATTTAGGGGGGGGGGGTATCTTCAGAAGTACAAGATGCCTAGCTTGTAAGCTTAATGATTTAGTGATTCAGTTCAAGAGTTTTCATGGTTGGCAGTATGGCATGGCCCTTGAGGCCATCCATGCAAAGACATAGTGCTATCTACATTCATACATGGCTGAATGCATCCCAGAATCAGAATCGCAACTGTTGTTTAAAGCTGTTTGGGAACTTTGCAACACGTTTGAGCATGTTGAGGATTGAGGGAGTCCTGACTTAAAGGTTGACCGGTCAAGGTTTGGTATTCTGGCGTGGGCAGAAGACTCTGCCGGTCTTGCAAACCTTCCAAGGAGTCAGCCGCCAATGGCAAAAGGCATAGACTGCAGCTATGTAGCCCGAGCCTCAAATCGCAAACCCCAAACCCTAAACCGGCCCTTCAGGACCCGAAACTCCAAACAAATCCTGGACCGCAGATTCTGAAGGATCAAATCCTTAACGCTACACCCGAAGGCCGTCACACATATACTTTGGCCTTAAAGTCGACCCCATATAGGTACTCTGGGGCCGAAGCATATACACTATATACTGCCTGGTACATGGATCCTTATACACCCTGAACATCCCGAAACTCTTGTTTCAACCCATAAAGCCATAAAGTACACTTAAAGCATTCTCGTAAACGACCCCTATATTTGGGCACATGGAACCTTCGGGTCAGTCAGGAGAGTCGCTGAGCCGTGGGCATGCACGGCCGCACAGCAAATCTGCTCGGCCCTAGAGTACATCCATCAGAAGGTCGGCTATGGCGGGCCTTTGGGGTATTGCGGTTAGGGATTTTGTGTGTTTTGCGTTTAGGGGTTTGGGGGTCAGGGGGTTTAGCGGGTTTAGGGTTTAGGGCCGAAGGGTTTTGGTGTTCTTTGATTGGCGTTTCGACGGGCGTAGGGCTTTAAGTCTCGCCGTAGCTCGAGGGTATTTCTGGGCAGCATGAGGGTTGGATTACCCTCAACTTCAGAAAGGTTTAGGGTTCAGGCCCTAAGCCGTAAACTCTAAACTTTTCTGAAGCTAGAGAGTTTCGCCGGGCGTAGGAACTTGGATCTGGGTTTCTAGGATGCGAGCTTTTGAGGGATTTGTGAATAACTATATAGTCTCCATTGTCATGTAGCGTCCGGAATAATTGCCTATATTACTTTGGGGGTTCCTTAATATACCCATAGTGTAATATACCCCCCAAATCCTATTCTGATTATTCAGGCCCCTACATCAGTTCCCTGTTCGGGGTGCCCCTACAGCTAAATACAAAACTGGTTAAACGAAAGAAAGGAACCACAATGGAGACTATAGTATAGGTATGACAGGCCCGATGGGTTTAGGGTTCCAGGACCCAAAAGGCGGGGAATACTTAATCCTTCACGAACACACCCAACCACAAAAAAAAAAACATTTATTTTATCTCTCCACCCTGCCTTTCTTTCTTGGAACAATTTTATATAGAAACCATATTCAGGAACACAAACAAGGCTTTGCTACAGGTGAATCCAGACCCTACAATCTTGAAGCTACATGACAAGATTTAACCTGTGGAGCAGGAAACCTCAAACCTTGCACCCAAAGCCCTGGCAGCCTTCATTAGGGTTTAGGGCAAGTTTAGGGTTTAGCGTTTAGGGTTAGGATTTAGGGTTTAGGGTTTTAGGGTTTAGGGTTTAGGCTTAAAGCAAAAGCAAGAGAAATCACAGTGTTTTGGTTTGTACCTGTCTCTGTGTTAGTCTTTACATCTGTATCTACACCCACACTAGTATCTTGGAACCAAGCCCGCACAACCGACTAGCACGGTACCCGCAGCTACCACGCGGACCCGACAATGCAGTGTTCTGTGAACCCTATAAGGCCTTGCAAAGCACCAAAACCTGATTGGAAGACGCTTACAAAACCCAACAGAATCGCCTTCGAACATTTTGCCTTTGACCCTAAAACGGGAAAAGCTCCATAGTAGCCGTAGCCGTCTCAAGGAACCTTCTTAAACCCCCCACAGTATACCTATAACCTCCGTCGTCGTTCCTTTTTTGGTGAAACCAATTTTATGTTTAGGATCCTATAAGGGAACCCCAAAAGGAACTACAATGGAGACCATAGGTATACCTTAAACTACCATAACCTACTTTTTTGTAGGTCCTTATTATAAACCCTAATATAGAATTTATAGGGACCCTACAAAAAAGTAGGTTTTGGTAGTTTAAGGTAGCCCTTTAAAGGGGCCTTGGGCTGGAAACCTTAGAGCCCGACGACCAGGGGGTGGTCCACTGCGACCTGAAACCCGAAAATGCGATGCTCCTGCGGGCGACCGACGCGAAGAGGTCATTGGGCTTCTCTTGGGTATACGGGTTTAGGGTTTAGGGATTTAGGGTTTAGGGTTTAGGGGGGTCTAGGGTTTAGGGTGTACCTTAATCCCAAATAACCTACCTTTTAGAGGACTTGTTTCAGGAAATCATAATAAGGAGCACTTGGAGGATCATGGGACTTAGCAAGTATGGTTATAAGTACCTTCATTGGGGTTGGAAGTAGTTATAAGTATAGCTACCCTAGTAGTAACCTTAGTTACTAAGTCCCATGA